GAAAGAAAGAGAAAAGAAAGAAAGAAAAGAAAGGAGGAAGGAAGGAGGGAAGGAGAAAGAAAGAAAGAAAAAGAAAGAAAGGAAAGAAAGAAAGAAGGAAAGAAAGAAAGAAAAGAAAAGAAAGGAGGGAGGAAGGAAGGAAGGGGGAGGGGGGAGGGAAGGAGGGAAGGGGGAGAAAGGGAGGAGAAGGGAAAAGAAGGAAAGAAAGGAGGAGGGAGAAGAGAAAAGAAGGAAGGAAGGAAGAGAAGGGAAGAAAGGAGATCCAGCCAGCTACTGCTTAATACTAGTATTTTCCAATTAATTTTGTTTATTTTGATTGTACAGTCTACTAGAAGTTGCCCAGTGTGCATTTTAGAATTCATGAGAGAGACCGAAACTCACCATTAACTTAGTCTAAGACAACACAGTGAATTCAAAGGGAAACCTGAGCAGAATACAAACAGCTCTTAAGGAAAAAATTTCTCACTTTGTACAAGATATAGCGAATCAATGTTTTTCTCATAGGGCTTTAACTGCTTCCCAAGCGTGGCATGATCCCTTCCCCATGTTTAGATCTGTTTTATTTCAGAAGGAAGGCGAGTGAAGTCTTGTTCTTCAAGAGCTCCCTTAACTGACAATGCAGAATGAGTTCATTCTGAAGTCAAGGGACAATGTTTACATCTCCTGGTTTTCTCCTGGGGCTGTCATTTTGCCATGGGCATGATGACTGCTGTGTATAGACTCAGCGTTTCTTGTTCCAGGGCCCCCAGGTGGAAGCTGGCATATGTGAGCAGACTCGTCCTCATCAGAAGAGAGTATCTAGAAGTGGCTCTGGTGACATCAGCCACTGGAGAGCTGTAAGAGCAACCCCTGAGCACCGAGATGCCTCCAGGGCTGCAGGCTTTTCCTCTTTCCATCAGATCTGCTGAGGTCTGATACAGGGGTTCTCTCTCATTTCTCTGATTTACAATGAATTGGTATAGAAGCCCTGTTATCAACTTAGTTCATTCTAGTCCATTACACCATCATTAACAGTGGCTTGATGCACTTGGAACACCCAGAAAATACCTAGAGCCTCCTCGACCCAAGTATCACAAATTTTAAACAAACAAGATGTTGCTAGGGTACTTGTACGAGTCAGCATTCTCCAGGGGCACAGAATCCATAGAATCCCTACACATATATGAAAAGAGATTTATTATTAGAGATTGACTCACATGGTAATGGAAGCTGAGAAGTCCCACAACCTTCCATCTGCAAGGGAGAGAACCCGAAAATCAGGTGGTGTAGTTCCAGTCCAAGTTCAAAGGACTGAGGACCAGGAGAGCCAAGGGTTTAAGTCCCAGTCTGAATAAAAAAGGCTCAAGAGCCAGAAGCTCTGATGCCCAAGGACAGGAGAAGACAGATTTCCCAGCTCAAGCAAAGACAGCAAACTCACCCTTCCTCCATCTGTTTATTCCATCTCAGCCTTCAACAGACTGGATGATGCCCACGCACACTGGTGAGGGCACGTCCACTTTACTCCGTCTACAGATTCAAATGCTAATCTCTTCCAGAAACACCAGCACAGACATACCCAGAAATCGTGATTCACCAACCCCCGGGGCATCTCTTAGCCCAGTCAAATTGACACGTAAAATTCACTCTCACGGCACTCCCACACCTGGCAGGACCCACACAACTGCAGCAGTGAACTCTGGAGAAGCAGCAAAGAATATAGCTGAGGGACAAGGTGTTGGCAAGAACTGGAACATCAGTGACAGTGAACATTGATCAATGCCTTCAGAATTGTGCTGCTGCACCAAACCCACCACATCAGAACCCCTTGGAAAGGGACACAAGCCCATAATAAGGAAGCCCCATGGCCTTTAAATATGGGTTTAGCCTACTGACTCAGGAGTCACATCATAACCAAATCGCTTCCCCTAGCTCCATCTCCCTTTCATTTGCCATCTCCCCACCCGTGGATTCCAGCACCCTTCCCAACAGAATCTCCCCAAGTTGTGATTGGTATATCTTTCTTTTTTGAGATGGAGTCTCGCTCTGTCACCCAGGCTGGAGTGAGTGGCGCCATCTTGGCTCACTGCAAGCTCCGCCCCCCGGGTTCCCGCCATTCTCCTGCCTCAGCCTCCCGAGTAGCTGGGACCACAGGCGCCGCCACCACACCCGGCTAATTTTTTGTATTTTTAGTAGAGACGGGGTTTCACCATATTGGTCAGGCTAGTCTGAAAGTCCTGACCTCGTGATCCCCCGGCCTTGGCCTCCCAAAGTGCTGGGATTACCGGCGTGAGTCACCGCGCCTGGCCTCCTTTTTTTTTTTTTTTTTTTTGTTTCAGAGTCACGCTGTTGCCCAGGCTGGAGTGCACTGGCGAGAACTCGGCTCACTGCAACTCTGCCTCCTGGGTTCAAGCAATTCTCATGCCTCAGCCTCCTGAGTAGCTGGGATTTACTGGCGCCCACCATCTTGACTGTCTAATTTTTGGAATTTTTTAATTTTTATTTTTTTGAGACGGGGTCTCTCACTGTTGCCCAGGCTGGAGTGCAATGAGGCGGTCTCAGCTCACTTCAACCTCTGCCTCTCAGGTTCAAGCGATTCTCCAGCCTCAGCCTCCCCAGTAGCTGGGATTACAGGTGCCCACCACCACATCCAGCTAATTTTTTGTATTTTTTAGTAGAGACAGGGTTTCACTATGTTGGCCAGGCTAGTCTCAAACTCCTGACCTCATGATCCGCCCGCCTCAGCCTCCCAAAGTGCTGGGATTACAGGCGTGAACCACAGCGCCTGATCAATTTTTGCATTTTTAATAGAAACGGGGTTTCATTGTGTTGGCCAGGCTGGTTTCAAACTCCTGGCCTCAAATTGATATATCCAGCTTGGCCTCCCAAAGTGCCTTCCAAAGATTAGGGGCGTAAGCCACCATGCCCGGCCATTAACCAGTCATTTCTTATCCTTAGACCTTCAAGTTTAGGAACCTGGCCAGAGACTCTCACTGAGAAGTTAAGAAGAAGGAAAAAAAAAAAAAAAAAGTGTGTGTGTGTGTGTGTGTGTGTGTGTGTGTGTATGAAACCAAGCCAATGATTGTCAATGATCATTTTCCTCTGCTGAATAGGTTAATTGTTCATGAGCTTATTTTCGGTTAGATATACCAATCATGGCCAGGTGCAGTGGCTCACTCCTGTAATCCCAGCACTTTGGGAGACTGAGGCAGGTGGATCACCTGAGGTGAGGAGTTCAAGACCCGCCTGGCTAACATGGCTAAACTCTGTCTCTACTAAAAATTCAAAAATTGGCCAGGCCTGGTTGTGGGTGCCTGTTTTCCCAGCTACATGGGAGGCTGAGGCAGAAGAATTGCTTGAACCTGGGAGGTGGAGGTTGCAGTGAGCCGAGATCACACCATTGCACTCCAGCCTGGGCAACAAAAGCGAAACTCCACCTCAAAAAAAAAAAAAAAAATGCATGGTTTTAATACCACAGTGATGCCAATGGACTTTTTATAGAAGGAAAACAGGGGAAATGGAGCCTGGGTTTCCAAAAAATTACCATAAAATACTCCATAATTAGATGTAATAAGAGGATCCACAAAAAAATCTTTAATAAATATTTGTTCACTTAGGGGTGTTCCACCTTAAGAAATTACTGTCAGGTCTTGGCAGAGAATGGGGAGAAGTTTGGGGGAGGAAAGAAGCCTAAAATTCAAATATTTTCCTTTTTGCCTGCATATTTCTCTTAACCTCTGTTTGAAAGGCATGTTTTATGATTACTAATAAACCTCTATGGTTCTAGGTTCAGACACAGCTGCCTTGAGGAGCCAATTCTGTAAGTAGGAGGCATCTTTTTTCCTTGCCCCTGCCTTGTAAATGTCTGGGTTTTTTAACATAAAATCTCCCTCCCATTCCACCCCACATTTTAAGTAATAACTTGCCTTTACAGAAGTATAAAGACCCCAAAAGTGCTTCTGATAAAAATGCCATTACAATAAAACATGAAGAATATTGGTGGTCTATTTTTCATGATTTGTGATAAGCACCTCTTATTTCCTCTTTGGGGCTAAAGGAATTTTAGACTGAAAAGAAGTAACCTATGACCCTCCTTCCTTTCTCTTTTTTTTTTTTTTTTTTTTTTTGAGAGGGAGTCTTGCTCTGTCGCCCAGGCTGGAGTGAAGTGGAGCGATCTCGACTCACTGCAAGTTCCACCTCCCAGGTTCAAGCAATTCTCCTGCCTCAGCCTCCCAAGTAGCTGGGATTACAGGCGTGCACCACCACACCTGCTAATTTTTTTGTGTTTTTAGTAGAGACGGGGTTTCACCATATTGGCCAGGCTGGTCTCAAACTTCTGACCTTGTGATCCGCCCTCCTCAGTCTCCCAAAGCGCTGGGATTATAGGTGTGAGCCACCGCGCCCAGTCGACCCTCCTTCCTTTCTTATTCTTCGGGCAGAAGAAACTATTGCAGGTCCCTCTAAACACTTAGTGCAAGAGGAAAGAAGGAGAGTGGGAAGAATCATAGATTGCAAGTAGTGGGAAGAACAAAGTACAAAAAAAGAAAATGAATCTAAGGCTAAGCCATCTACATCTACCAACAATCTCTGTACCTTTTTATTTTCAGTGAGGACTTACTGGGCATCTTCAATGTTCAGATGTGTGTAAGGCAGCAGAAAAACCAGTATGAGTCCGGGCGCGGTGGCTCACGCCTGTATCCCAGCATTTGGGAGGCGGGCGGATCATGAGGTCAGGAGATCGAGACCATCCTGGCTAACACAGTGAAACCCCATCTCTACTAAAAATACAAAAAATTAGCCGGGCGTGGTGGTGGGCGCCTGTAGTCCCACCTACTCGGGAGGCTGAGGCAGGAGAATGGCATGAACCCGGGAGGCGGAGCTTGCAGTGAGCCCACATCGCCACTGGGCGACAGAGCGAGATTCCCTCTCAAAAAAAAAAAAAAAAAGAAAAGAAAAAAAAGAAAAACCAGTATGAATGACACAGTTTCTGCATGCAAGCTCCTGCCACATCAGGGAAGGCGGTCTCTACCTTTCAGCCCCCAGCAGTCCTACCATCATTCAGTTGCACATGCCTGAATCGCTTTTTGTGAGCAGGCTTTTTGTGAGTCTACTGAAAAAGGTCAGAAAGACAAACAGCTTCTTTTAAAATACTGAATACATTGGAGGGTAAGCAGTAGGTTGAATTGGTCTTGCAATATCAGAATTTCTAATTTTTGCCACTAAATGTTTATAAGGATTTTAGATTTCTGGTGATGGATATTCTTTAACAAAATTAATTATAATGAAAACTTGGGAATGGTTCCTGTCTCTTTTCCCAAATAAATGTTTGCCTTGATGTGTGCCCATGTTAACGCAAAAATTTTTCTCCATCACAGTCCTGAACACTATGACTTGTCTCAAACAAGAATTCTTGTTTTTATCAACTCGAGTCATTGAGAGGGAAATGTGTCTTTTTATTTAGCTTCTCAGTTGCTAATCAATTGCTAATTATCTTTAACCATATTGACCTTCTCCCACTGGTTTTGCCATATAGATTAATGAGTGACATTACAGGGAGCACAATTTCATGCACTGAAAATAATGGATTCATACATTATTCACTCCACATAAATACATGCACTTTTACTTGGAACTTTAAAAGATCAGAGAAGGAAGCACTGAGGAGAGATACAATCTGACCAAGGCAAGAACTGGGACAGGAAAATTATATATGATGGAAATGGAGAAAGACAGACCAATCTGTGCACAAATGAAGCTCCTGGAAAGGAAGAAAGAACATGAGGGAAGACAAAACAAATAAGTACCTCCAGCTGTGTGTACATCCTCACGGTGCGTGGCAGAATCCTGAGCCCCGGAATCTTGCCTGGTCAAGCATCACACCTGCAGCCCCCTCTGCTGGCTGCCAATGGGTACATCTGCAAAGAGCAAGTCCAGGCAAATGAACACGCTATTATGATCCTCTCTGGTTGGCCCCCATGCTCTCTGGCTTCCTATCCTATGAATAACCAAAAAAAAAAAAAAAAAAAAAAAACTTTACTCTGACCTAGAGGAAAAATAAATAAAAATAAATGGCTTCCTGTGGGCTTCTTTTCCTTGAAATTCCTTTTGTTATCTAGTTAGCCACCTAAAGAAGGAAGAGACAGTTGATGCATCTTCCAGATCGAAATCAGCTCTGGCTTCTCTTGGGTTGTGAAGAGGAGAGGGAATGGGAAGAAATCTGAAATGAGAATCTGAAGAATATCCTCCAAAAGAGCTAGTGTTGTCCCCAGTTCTCGACACAGAGCTTCAATAACCTCTGGAATTTTCTGAGCAGTACAAATGCCTTTGTTAAGCTAATGAGGTGACTCAGTTTAGTCCCCCTTCATGATGGGTCTGTCACCAGGAAGACCAAGCAGGTAGATAAAGGGTTGGGACTTCCAGCTGCTGGACTGGGAGGAGGCTGGGGGCTAAGTTCAATTGGGCAGTCAATGATTTACTGAGTCAATGAAGCCCCAATAAAATCTTCGAACACCAACTCAGTGGAGCTTCCCCTTGGTCTGTGAACACATTGATGTGCCAGGAAGGTGAACTCCCTGAGGAGGTGTGACAGCTCTGCTTGCCATGATTGGATTCCTGACCCACAGAAACAGCTAAATAATAAACATGTGTTGTTTTGAGCCACTAAATTTTGGGGTAATGTGTTACACAGCAACAGATAGCTAATATGCATCCCAATAAGTAAAAATAAATATTCACTGAGTAACTTCACTGAAATTTTAGTACAGGAAACGCAAAGAAACTATGTTAAAAACAACTGAAAAGGAAAATATAGAACATCTACAAAGAACAAAGATTAACAATCAAACATCAGAAAATAACCAATCAAGGCCAGATGTGGTGGCTCACGCCTGTAATCCCAGGACTTTGGGAGGCTGAGGCGGGTGGATCACGAGGTCAGGAGATGGAGACCATCCTGGCTAACATGGTGAAACCCCATCTCTACTAAAAATACAAAAAATTAGCCAGGCAAGGTGGCGGGCACCGGTAGTCCCAGCTACTCAGGAGGCTGAGGCAGGAGAATGGCAGGAACCCAGGAGGTGGAGCTTGCAGTGAGCTGAGATCCGGCCACTGCACTCCAGCCTGGGGGACAGAGCAAGACTCCATCTCAAAAAAAAAAAAAAAAAGAAAGAAAGAAAAGAAAAGAACCAATCAATAAAATGCTAAGAGACAATAAGTATCTGCCTAAAAGTTGACACCCAGCTACTATCATCAAAGAGTGAAGGGCAAATAAAGACACTTCCGAGACGATCTACAACTCACAGATCTTTGCTGAATAAACTTTTTTTTTTTTTTGAAGGCGGAGTTTCCATCTTGTCACCCAGGCTGGAGTGCAATGGCACAATCTCAGTTCCCTGAAACCTTTCCCCTCCAGGTTCAAGTGATTCTCTTCTCTCAGCCTCCCTAGTAGCTGGGATTACAGGCTCCTGCCACCATGCCCGGCTACTTTTTGTGTTTTTATTAGAGACGGTGTTTCGACACGTTGGCCAGGCTGGTCTTAAACTCCTGACCTCAGGTGATCCACCCACCTTGGTCTCCCAAAGTGCTGGGATTACAGGTGTGAGCCACTGCACCCGGCCTGAATAAACTCTTAAAAGATGCATATCAGAAAGAAGAATACTGAACCCAAAGAAAGGAGTAAAATAAGTAAGGATGAGTTGGGAATTGCCATATATGTGGGTATATTTAAACAAACACTGACTATGTAAAACAACATAATGAAAACTTGGGGGAAATTAAAAACATTTTGGAACTAAGTATTGAAGAAAATACCACGTAAGGAAGGAAGTTATTAATCAGAGTTTTTGTTTTTGTTTTTGTTTTTTTTGTTTTTTTTTTTTTTAAAGACGGAGTCTTGCTTTGTCGCCAGGCTGGAGTGTAGTGGCAGGATGTTGGCTCACTACAACCTCCACCTCCCAGGTTCAAGCGATTCTCCTGCCTCAGCCTTCTGAGTAGCTGGGACTACAGGCATGCGCCACCACACCCAGCTAATTTTTGTATTTTTAGTAGAGATGGGGTTTCACCATGTTGGCCAGGATGGCTCAATTTCTTGACCTTGAGGTCCGCCCGCCTTGGCCTCTCAAAGTGCTGAGATAACAGGTGTGAGCCACCACGCCCAGCCTAATCAGAGTTAAATGTTCTTAAATCTGTGTGTGTGTGTGTGTGTGTGTGTGTGTGTGTGTGTGTGAAGAAAAGGGGCTCAATATGTTGCTCAGGCTGGTCTCAAACTCCCAGGGTCAGGTGATCCTTCCACCTCTGACTCCCTAACTGCTGGGATTACAGGACTACAGGCACGAGCCACCATGACCAGTTGACCCTTGAACAACATGGAGGGTTAGGGGCACCAATCCCTTGGGCTGTCAAAAATGCACTTATAACTTTTGACTCCCTCAAAACATAACTACTAATAGCCTACTACTGACTGGAAGCCTTTTCAATAATATAAACTGTCAATTAACATACTTTGTGGCCGGGCACGGTGGCTCACGCCTATAATCCCAACACTTTGGGAGGCCGAGGCCGGCGGATCACGAGGTCAGGAAATCGAGACCATCCTGGCTAACATAGTGAAACCCCGTCTCTACTGAAAATACAAAAAATTAGCCGGGCATGGCGGCGGGCGCCTGTAGTCCCAGCTACTCAGGAGGCTGAGGCAGGAGAATGGCGTGAACCCGGGAGGTGGAGCTTGCAGTGAGCCGAGATCCCGCCACTGCACTCCAGCCTGGGCAACAGAGCAAGACTCCGTCTCAAAACAACAACAACAACATATTTTATATGTGGTACATGCTATATACTGTATTCTTACATTAAAGTAAGCTTAAAAAAGAAAATGCTATTAGTAAAATCATAACGAAAAGAAAATATATTTACTATTCATTAGGTGGAAGTGGATCATCACAAAGGTCATTTTTTTTTTTTTTTTTTTTTTTTTTTTACACAGGGGGGGGTGCAATGGCACGGTCTTGCCTCACTGCAACCTCTGCCTCTCAGATTCAAGTGATTCTCCTGCCTCAGCCTCCCGAGTAGCTGGGATTACAGGCACCTGCCATCACACCCAGCTAATTAAATCTCACCAGCTATAGACTGTCACTCTCTTGCCCAGGCTATAGTGCAGTGACGCAGTCTCAGTTCACTGCAGCCTCTGCCCCCCGGGTTCAAGTGATTCTCCTGCCTCAACCTCCCATGTAGCTGGGATTATAGGCACCTGCCACCATGCCCAGCTAATTTTTGTATTTTTAGTAGAGACAGGGTTTCACCATGTTGGCCAAGCTAGGTAGAGGGGTAGAGATATTGACTAACTTTAGACTTTAGACTTTGTTAAATACACAATACACTGTGCTTTTTTTTTTTTTTTTTTTGAGACAGAGTTTCATTCTTGTTGCCCAGGGTGGAGTGCAATGGCACGATCTTGGCTCACCGCAACCTCCACCTCCGGGGTCCAACGATTCTCCTGCCTCAGCCTCCCGAGTAGCTGGGATTACAGGCATGCACCACCATGCCCGGCTAATTTTGTATTTTTAGTAGAGACAGGGTTTCTCCATGTTGGTCAGTCTGGTCTCAAACTCCTCACCTCAGGTGATCTGCTGGCCTTGGCCTCCCAAAGTGCTGGGATTACAGGTGTGAGCCACCACGCCCGGCCCACTGTGCATATTTTAAAATGAGGACAATCACTAAAAGAATAGAAACAGAATAGTAAATTACAAATCAGTAGATAGAAAAGAGGTAACTAGAACTATAAAGATAACTCAAGTGATCCAATAGGAAAGAAAAATAGGCTGGGCGTGGTGGCTCATGCCTGTAATCCCAGCACTTTGGGAGGATAAGGCAGGCGGATCATGAGGTCAGGAGATCGAGACCATACTGGCTAACACGGTGAAACCCTATCTCTACTAAAACTACAAAAAATTAGCCGGGCATGGTGGCAGGCACCTATAGTCCCAGCTACTTGGGAGGCTGAGGCAGGAGAATGGCGTGAATCCAAGAGGCGGAGCTTGCAGTGAGTGGAGATCGCGCCACTGCACTGCAGCCTGGGTGACAGAGCGAGACTCCGTCTCAAAAAAACAAAAAACAAAAAACAACAACAAAAAACATAAATAAATAGAAACAAAATAAAAGAATAATAAATAGAAAGTATAAGTAAATCTAAACATATTTAACCATAAAATAAGACTATCCTTACAAGTTCCATAATAGAAACTCACCATTGAAATTAAGAAAAAAGTAGTTTATAGATATGATAAATAATATAGATATACAGATAGCTATAAATATGTATCAGGAAAACATTAAGCAGAGGAAACAGCTTTGTGACTATCTCTGACCACTCTGGTTTAACATTTTTTTTTTTTTTGAGATGGAGTTTCATTCTTGTCGCCCAGGCTGGAGTGCAGTGACGCCATCTCAGCTCACTACAACTTCCACCCCCTGGGTTCAAGCAATTCTCCTGCCTCAGCCTCCTGAGTAGCTGAGATTACAGGCACCCGCCACCACACCCAGCTAATTTTTGTATTTTTAGTAGAGATGGGGTTTCACCATGTTGGCCAGGCTGGTCTTGAACTCCTGACCTCAGGTGATCCGCCTGCCTTCGCCTCCCAAAGTGCTGGGATTACAGGCATGAGCCACCACACCCAGCCCCAATCTGGTTCAACTTTTATGTAACAAAGTTATGAGTTGTTTTTCAGTTGCCATGGACCCCTAGGTTGAAGGTCATGTAACCTGAGCAGGACCAGATGAAGTGTGCAACCGCAGCGGGAACCTAAGTGCTCAGATGGAGGAGTGGGGACTGATTTAAGAAGTGGACACCATAAGGCAAGATCCAGGATCCAATCAGATCAAGCTCTGACATTACCCCATGGAAAGAGCCAGTCACATCATGACT